GTTGGGGGGGGGGGGGGGCACCGATGTGTAACGGGTTGGGTAAACAAAATTTTGTCACAAAATGAAGTATTGCAGCTCGTCGAGGACCGCTTATTTCGTGACCGCCGTCCCAACTCCAAGTTTGAAGTTTTTGAGTTTCTCAAAAAATTATGACAAAATATTAAAAAGTTTGTGAAAAATGGTGAATTTTAACAAGGCTTGCAGCTCTTTTGCTGCTGCCGTTCTTGAATATAATACGAATACACAAGATTGTTCATATAAAAAGCAAGAAAGTTGGTGCAATTAATTTTATAATTCAACTTGTTATCATCAGCTGAAGGTCATGGAATCACTATTGACCCAATAAAAAGTATTTGGTATGCTTGTTTAATATGACATTGTATTGCAAATATCTGGGTTTTAATTTGTATTATTTAGTGGTTTTTGATTATTTCATTTTACAAATTGCTGTTGAACAGCAATTTGTCAGTATTTGTAAATTCAGTAATTTTTTTATTCCATGTTGCCTGGGGCTATTTTTCTTGTGATGTGCGTGTGCAAGACGTCAACATAACCAGTTCACAGAGGCAGAAAATTACAACATTCTCCGATCCGAGTTAGCTTTCTCGATATTTCATCTTCATGTTTGGCAGAATTGAAATCTTTGATGTTCAAATTAGTCTATACTGAAAATTTCACTCATAATGTTTGCAGTCTTTGGGCATATTACCATTTGCATTCAAGAGGGTCCCCATGCCGAGATAGAAAGTTGTTTTTGAGTTTTGCAACCAACATTGTGATTGGACAACTTTACATTTTACGCCAAACGAAAATGAGAGTTGAGAAGCAAAAGTTTGCATGAGAGTTGAGAAGCGAGAGTTTGCATGAGAGTTGATGAGAGTTGAGAAACGAGAGTTTGCATGAGAGTTGATGAGAGTTGAGAGTTTGCATGAGAGTTGATGAGAGTTGAGAGTTTGCATGAGAGTTGATGAGAGTTGAGAAGCGAGAGTTTGCATGAGAGTTGATGAGAATTGAGAAGCAAGAGTTTGCATGAGAGTTGATGAGAGTTGAGAAGCGAGAGTTTGCATGAGAGTTGATGAGAGTTGGGAAGTGAGAGTTTGCATGAGAGTTGATGAGAGTTGAGAAGAGAGAGTTTGCATGAGAGTTGATGAAGTTGAGAAGCGAGAGTTTGCATGAGAGTTGATGAGAGTTGAGAAGCGAGAGTTTGCATGAGAGTTGATGAGAGTTGAGAAGCGAGAGTTTGCATGAGAGTTGATGAGAGTTGAGAAGTGAGAGTTTGCATGAGAGTTGATGAGAGTTGAGAAGCGAGAGTTTCAATGAGAGTTGATGAAAGTTGAGAAGTGAGAGTTTACATGAGAG